ACTCTCTTAACCTCTCTCTTTTTCTCCATATACTCTTCCCTCCTTGCATCACTTCTACTTTGTAAAAACTTCTCATATGCTAACTTTTTCTCCCTTACTGCTCTCTTTACATCATCATTCCATCAATCGCTCCTCTTCCCTCCCGCACCCACTTTCCTGTAACCACAAACTTCTGCTGAACACTAACACTACATTTTTAAACCTACCCCATACCTCTTCGACCCCATTGCCTATACTCTCATTAGCCCATCTATCCTCCAATATCTGTTTATATCTTATCCTAACTGCCTCCTCTTTTAGTTTATAAACCTTCACCTCTCTCTTCCCTGATGCTTCTATTCTCCTTGTACCCCATCTACCTTTTACTCTCAGTGTAGCTACAACTAGAAAGTGATCTGATATATCTGTGGCCCCTCTATAAACATGTACATCCTGAAGTCTACTCAACAGTCTTTTATCTACCAATACATAATCCAACAAACTACCGTCATTTCGCCCTACATCATATCTTGTATACTTATTTATCCTCTTTTTCTTAAAATATGTATTACCTATAACTGAACCCCTTTCTATACAAAGTGCAATCAAAGGGCTCCCATTATCATTTACACCTGGCACCTCAAACTTACCTACCACAACCTCTCTAAAAGTTTCTCCTACTTTAGCATTCAGATCCCCTACCACAATTACTCTCTCACTTGGTTCAAACGCTCCTATACATTCACTTAACATCTCCCAAAATCTCTCTCTCTCCTCTACATTCCTCTCTTCTCCAGGTGCATACACGCTTATTATGACCCACTTTTCACATCCAACCTTCACTTTAATCCACATAATTCTTGAATTTACACATTCATATTCTCTTTTCTCCTTCCATAACTGATCCTTCAACATTACTGCTACCCCTTCCTTTGCTCTAACTCTCTCAGATACTCCAGATTAATCCCATTTATTTCCCCCACCGAAACTCCCCTACCCCCTTCAGCTTTGTTTCGCTTAGGGTAGACATCCAACTTCTTTTCATTCATAACATCAGCAATCATCTGTTTCTTGTCATCCGCACTACATCCACGCACATTCAGCACCCAGTTTTATAAAGTTTTTCTTCTCTATTTTTTAGTAAATGTCTACAGGAGAAGGGTTACTAGCCCATTGCTCCCGGCATTTAGTCGCCTCATACGACACGCATGGCTTACGGAGGAAAGATTCTTTTCCACTTCCCCATATAAATATATATATATATATATATATATATATATATATATATATATATATATATATATATATATAGGTTAGGTTGGTAGACAGCAACCACCCAGGGAGATACTACCGTCCTGCCAAGTGAGTGTAAAACGAAGCCTGTGATTGTTTACATGAGGAAGGATTGCTGATGTCTTTTGTCTGTCTCATAAATATTGCAAGATTACAGGCATGTCTTGCTACTTCTACTTACACTTAGGTCACACTACACATACATGTACACATTTATTTATACACACTCATCTGAGTTTTCTTTGATTTTATCTTAATAGTTCTTGGTCTTATTAATTTTCCTTTTATATCCATGGGGAAGTGGAATAAGAATCTTTCCTCCGTAAGCCATGCGTGTTGTAAAAGTCAACTAAAATGCCGGGAACAATGGGCTAGTAACCCCTTTCCTGTAAAGATTACTAAAAAGAATAAGAAGAAGAAAATTGTCAAAGTGGGAAGTCTGAATGTGCGTGGATGTTGTGCAGATAAGAAAGAGATGATTGTGGATGTTATGAATGAGAAGAAGCTGGATGTCCTGGCTTTAAGTGAAACAAAGCTGAAGGGGGTGGGAGAGTTTCAGTGGAGAGGAATAAATGGGATTAGGTCAGGGGTTTCAAATAGAGTTAGAGCTAAAGAAGGAGTAGCAATAATGTTGAAGGATAAGCTATGGCAGGAAAAGAGGGACTATAAATGTATTAATTCAAGGATTATGTGGAGTAAAATAAAGATTGGATGTGAAAAGTGGGTTATAGTAAGTGTGTATGCACCTGGAGAAGGAAGAAGTGTAGAGGAGAGAGAGAGATTTTGGGAAATGTTGAGTGAATGCGTGGGGAGTTTTGAATCAAGTGTGAGAGTAATGGTGGTTGGGGATTTCAATGCTAAAGTGGGTAAAAATGTTATGGAAGGAGTAGTAGGTAAATTTGGGGTGCCAGGGGTAAATGTAAATGGGGAGCCTTTAATTGAGCTATGTGTAGAAAAAAAATTTGGTAATAAGTAATACATATTTTATGAAAAAGAGGATAAATAAATATACAAGGTATGATGTAGCACGTAATGAAAGTAGTTTATTGGATTTATGTATTGGTGGATAAAAGGTTGAGGGGTAGGCTCCAGGATGTACATGTTTATAGAGGGCAACCTGATAATCGGATCATTATTTAGTTGTAGCTACAGTTAGAGTAAGAGGTAGATGGGAAAAGAGGAAGGTGGCAACAACAAGTAAGGGGGAGGTGAAAGGGGTTAAACTAAGGGAGGAGGAAGTTCGGGTGAGATATAAGCGACTATTGGCAGAAAGGTGGGCTAATGCAAAGATGAGTAGTGGGGGGATTGAAGAGGTGTTGGAATAGTTTTAAAAATGCGTATTAGAATGGGGGGCAGAAGTTTGTGGTTATAGGAGGGGGGGCAGGAGGAAAGAGGAGTGATTGGTAGAATGATGAAGTAAAGGGTGTGAAAAAGAGAAAAAGGTAGCTTATGAGGGGTTTTTTTACAAAGCAGAAGTGTTATAAGAAGCAGAGAAATAGGAGAGTAAAAGAAAGGTAAAGAGAGTGGTGAGAGAGTGAAAAAGGGAGAGCAGATGATAGAGTGGGAGGCACTGTCAAGAATTTTAATGAAATAAGAAAAAATTTGGAGTGAGTTAAACAAGTTAAGAAAGCCTAGGAAAATATGGATTTGTCAGTTAAAAAACGAGTAGGGGAGTTAGTAGATGGGGAGATGGAGGTATTAGGTAGATGGCGAGAATATTTTGGGGAACTTTTAAAGTTAAGGAAGAAACAGAGGCAGTAATTTCATGAAAGGTCAGGGAGGTATCCCAAATCTTTTAGGAGTAAAGAAGAGCAGAATGTAAGTGTGGGGAGGTCGTGAGGCATTACGTAAAATGAAAGGGGTAAAGCAGCTGGAACTGATGGGATCATGACAGAAATGTTAAAAGCAGGGGGGGATATAGTGTTGGAGTGGTTGGTACTTTTGTTTAATAAATGTAAGAAAGAGGGGAAGGTACCTAGGATTGGCAAGAGCATGTATAGTCCCTTATAAAAAGGGGAAAAGGGGACAAAAGAGACTGTAAAAATTATAGAGAATAAGCTTACTGAGTATACCAGGAAAAGTGTACGGTAGGGTTACAATTGAAAGAATTAGAGGTAAGACAGAATGTAGGGTTTCGGATGAGCAAGGAGGTTTTAAAAGTGGGTAGGGGATGTGTAGATCAGGTGTTTAAAATTGAAGCATAATGTGAACAGTATTTAGATAAAGATAGGGAAAGTTTTTATTGCATTTATGGATTTAGAAAAGGCATATGATAGAGTGGATAGAGGAGCAATTTGGGAGATGTTTCAAGTAAAATGGAATAGGTGGTAGTTATTAAATGCTGTAAAGAGTTTTTATGAGGATAGTGAGGCTCAGGTTAGGGTGGTAGAGAGAGGGAGAATACTTCCCGGTAAAAGTAGGTCTTAGACAGGGATGTGTAATGTCACCATGGTTGTTTAATATATTTATAGATGGGGTTGTAAAGGAAGTAAATGCTAGGGTGTTTGGGAGAGGGGTGGGATTAAATTATGGGGAATCAAATTCAAAATGGAATTGACACAGTTACTTTTTGCAGATGATACTGTGCTTATGGGAGATTCTAAAGAAAAATTGCAAAGGTTTATGGATGAGTTTGGAATGTGTGTAAAGGTAGAAAGTTGAAAGTGAACATAGAAAAGAGTAAGGTGATGAGGGTGTCAAATGATTTAGATAAAGAAAAATTGGATATCAAATTGGGAGGAGGAGTATGGAAGAAGTGAATGTTTTCAGATACTTGGGAGTTGACGTGTCGGGGGATGGATTTATGAAGGATGAGGTTAATCATAGAATTGATGAGGGAAAAAAGGTGAGTGGTGCGTTGAGGTATATGTGGAGTCAAAAAACGTTATCTATGGAGGCAAAGAAGGGAATGTATGAAAGTATAGTAGTACCAACACTCTTATATGGGTGTGAAGCTTGGGTGGTAAATGCAGCAGCGAGGAGACGGTTGAGGCAGTGGAGATGTCCTGTTTAAGGGCAATGTGTGGTGTAAATATTATGCAGAAAATTCGGAGTGTGGAAATTAGGAGAAGGTGTGGAGTTAATAAAAGTATTAGTCAGAGGGCAGAAGAGGGGCTGTTGAGGTGGTTTGGTCATTTAGAGAGAATGGATCAAAGTAGAATGACATGGAAAGCATATAAATCTATAGGGGAAGGAAGGCGGGGTAGGGTCGTCCTCGAAAGGGTTGGAGAGAGGGGTAAAGGAGGTTTTGTGGGTAAGGGGGTTTGGGACTTCCAGCAAGCGTGCGTGAGCGTGTTAGATAGGAGTGAATGGAGACGAATGGTACTTGGGACCTGACGATCTGTTGGAGTGTGAGCAGGGTAATATTTAGTGAAGGGATTCAGGGAAACCGGTTATTTTCATATAGTCGGACTTGTGTCCTGGAAATGGGAAGTACAATGCCTGCACTTTAAAGGAGGGGTTTGGGATATTGGCAGTTTGGAGGGATGTGTTGTGTATCTTTATATGTGTATCTTCTAGACTGTTGTATTCTGAGCACCTCTGCAAAAACAGTGATAATGTGCGAGTGTGGTGAAAGTGTTGAATGATGATGAAAGTATTTTCTTTTTGGGGATTTTCTTTCTTTTTTGGGTCACCCTGCCTCGGTGGGAGACGGCCGACTTGTTGAGAAAAAATAATATATATATATATATATATATATATATATATATTATGTTGCTATATTTCAGATAGTGATGAACAAGAAGAGAGCAGTTGGTGTACAGTTCATACATCGTGGGAAGGTGAGTGGACTAACTCTGTCGAACAATCAGAGTGAACATTTGTTTATGCAATAAATCTTCTAATATTAGCCTGAACCTAACGCATAATTATACACTGTCGATCTTACTGAAAATTAGTCTCTGTTACTTACGTTTTTCTTCAAATATAATCAGCAGTAAGCTACTGGATCCTGAGCAGAATTGAGAAGGTATGTGCATTTATACGCACGAAGATGTAAGTGTAAACTCACGAAAATGCTCAGGCTTTTCTATGATTTTTGTGCAGTTGATTCATTTATATATTTTTTGTTTATCTTCGTTAGCTGAAGAAGGCGTGGGCGGTACGGGAAGTGGTTGTGTCTGCCGGAGCTCTCTCCTCCCCCAAGATCCTTATGCTGTCTGGTTTGGGTCCTGCACAACACCTGCAGGAACATGGGGTGAGTGGTGTGGGTCCAGTACAACACCTGCTGGAACATGGGATGAGTGGTGTGGGTCCAGCACAACACCTGCTGGAATATGGGATGAGTGGTGTGGGTCCAGTACAACACCTGCTGTTACATGGGGTGAGTGGTGTGGGTCCAGTACAACACCTGCTGGAACATGGGATGAGTGGTGTGGGTCCAGTACAACACCTGCTGTAACATGGGATGAGTGGTGTGGGTCCAGTACAACACCTGCTGGAACATGGGATGAGTGGTGAGAGTCCAGCACAACACCTGCAGGAACATAGGATGAGTGGTGTGGGTCCAGTACAACACCTGCTGTAACATGGGGTGAGTGGTGTGGGTCCAGTACAACACCTGCTGTAACATGGGGTTGAGTGGTGTGGGTCCAGTACAACACCTGCTGGAACATGGGAAAGAGTGGTGTGGGTCCAGTACAACACCTGCTGTAACATGGGTGAGTGGGGTGGGTCCAGTACAACACCTGCTGTAACATGGGGTGAGTGGTGTGGGTCCAGTACAACACCTGCTGTAACATGGGGTGAGTGGTGTGGGTCCAGTACAACACCTGCTGGAACATGGGATGAGTGGTGTGGGTCCAGTACAACACCTGCTGTAACATGGGGTGAGTGGTGTGGGTCCAGTACAACACCTGCTGTAACATGGGGTGAGTGGTGTGGGTCCAGTACAACACCTGCTGTAACATGGGGTGAGTGGTGTGGGTCCAGTACAACACCTGCTGTAACATGGGGTGAGTGGTGTGGGTCCAGTACAACACCTGCTGTAACATGGGGTGAGTGGTGTGGGTCCAGTACAACACCTGCTGTAACATGGGGTGAGTGGTGTGGGTCCAGTACAACACCTGCTGGAACATGGGATGAGTGGTGTGGGTCCAGTACAACACCTGCTGGAACATGGGATGAGTGGTGTGGGTCCAGCACAACACCTGCAGGAACATAGGATGAGTGGTGTGGGTCCAGTACAACACCTGCTGGAACATGGGATGAGTGGTGTGGGTCCAGTACAACACCTGCTGGAACATGGGATGAGTGGTGTGGGTCCAGCACAACACCTGCAGGAACATGGGATGAGTGGTGTGGGTCCAGTACAACACCTGCTGGAACATGGGATGAGTGGTGTGGGTCCAGTACAACACCTGCTGTAACATGGGGTGAGTGGTGTGGGTCCAGTACAACACCTGCTGGAACATGGGATGAGTGGTGTGGGTCCAGTACAACACCTGCTGTAACATGGGGTGAGTGGTGTGGGTCCAGTACAACACCTGCTGTAACATGGGGTGAGTGGTGTGGGTTCAGTACAACACCTGCTGGAACATGGGGTGAGTGGTGTGGGTCCAGTACAACACCTGCTGTAACATGGGGTGAGTGGTGTGGGTCCAGTACAACACCTGCTGGAACATTGGGGCGAGTGTTGTAGGTCCTGAAGAAAACCTGCAGGAAGAGAGGTAAAAGATGAGAGTCTTTAACAACACCTGCAGAAACATGGGTGCAGGAGACGAACAAGACCACTAATTGTTCATCTATTTCACGTCCGACAATTTCCAGACGGAACTCTAGCCGATGTTTCGATGCCTTAAGAACCATTAACTCGCGACTTAATGATGGTTCTGGACGGACCGGAACCTCGTCTAAGGTTTACCCTTCAAACTGTGGATTTGCTGTAATTTGTTGCAGTCACGTTATTGTAGATTTGCTTTGAACTGTTCCAGCCTCGGTATTGTACATATGTATTGAATTGTTCCAACCACAGCATTGTAGGTTATTTATGAATTGTTCCAGCCATGGTAAATTTATGAATTGTTCCAGCCATGGTAGGTTTATGAATTGTTCCAGCCATGGTGGATTTATGTTTGCATTGCTGTATCCAGTGACTGTAATGTTTTAACTGGTTAAAATTGCTACAAGCCTGTAGATAGCATCAGCTAATGTATTTCTTTTAATTATTTAAAGTTGCTGTAGACAACACGAAGTTTCCGAGTGAAAGTCTGGATCACTTGCAGGTGCCGGTTGTGCTGGATCTGCCAGGCGTAGGCACGAACTTGCAGGATCACTTCAACATTCAAGGACTCACATGGACCGTACCTCAGGGAGTCCTCAACCCACCCAACAACCTGGTTGCCCTCCATCAGTATCTCAACAACAGGACAGGTCCGTCTTTCCTACCATGCCAGGTCTTTCCTATCATGCCAGGTCCTTTTCTCCTGCCATGCCAGGTCTCTCCTACCATGCTAGATCTGTCTCCCCTACCCATATCATCTACCACGATAGGTACATCTATCCTACCATATAACAGGTGCTGTTTCTGGTACGTGTCTCCTACCATGCTTACTACAGTTTCCCGTAGTCGTGAAGATTCTTCACCACTACGGTGCTCTTCACACCAACTCCAAGGCTGAGGGACTGATTACCTCATCTTTTGTATATAGTTCTTAACTTCCAGTTATGTCCTTTAATTTGCGTTGATAAAGACACTGGATGGCGAAACGTATACAATAATTATGTTAATGTCCAGGGTTTATTACCTGGACCTCAGCAATGAGAGTCGCTACTCTCACCGCTGGGCAACGGCGACGTATACAATAAAGATACCCAAATAATCACTGTTTAAAACATGTTAAACAGTCACCCATTTGACTGTCATAGCAACAGTGATATACTGCTGTTAAGAGGCAGCTGCGCCACATTTAGCTAAATCTTCTACACTGTGGAACTGGACAGAGACCTCGCTGACCACAAACAACAGACTTTAATGAGAAATATTCAAGTCGTTGAAATGTGCACGTTAATACACGCTCGTCACCTGTATGAAATCTTTGCTACTGTGAACTCACTATACGAAGGCCGTACTTGGACAACGAATTATCACATGAGGATAATATATGCATTTGTGTAAGCCCCGTGTCAAATTTTGAATGTCAATTATATTTTTTATTCCCACCACTTACACTAAAATAAAAAAAGTCTGAGAAATTAAATAAAATATTTTAACAACGAAAAATATGTCTGTAAAATGAAAAAAAAAAAGTCTGGATTTGCATTTTTCCTAATCACTGATCTCTTTAACAGTCTTCTGTATTCCCATCAGGACCTTTCTCGGAGCCACTAGGGGAGAAGACCAGCGCCTGGGTGACCGTCACTCCTGAGGGTGTGACGCAGGAAGACCCCAACTGGCCCAATGTTCAGTGCCATATCCTTACACCGCCGATATCATTCGACTTGGGGTTCCTTACCCCAGAGTTGACCAGTCTGGAATATAATGTGAGTAACCTTTCACATGCTAACGTTCTCTCCATGTTAATACTGGGTGTTTGGTGAATTATTCTGTGAGGGATGGTTGGTATATTATCCTCCCAGGGGTGGTTGGTGTATTATCCTGCGAAGTGTGGTTGTTGTATTAGCTTGTGAGAGATGGTGTATTATCCTCCAAAGGGTGTTTGGTATATTAACCCGTGCGATCGCTGTTGGTGTATTATCCTGTTAAAGCGTCGTCATGAATTATACTATGCAAAGCGTCGTTAATACATTGTCCGGTAAGACAGAGAGTAAATAGCGGTCTGTTGTATTTTCACTTCAGTCTACAGGGCTATTGCCAAATAAAATACAAAGGCTATTAGCATCAGCTTAAACAACTGGCTCAACCCAGCATTAAGAGAAGGCCTCTAACGTTTGCTTTGGTACTTCTTTAAGATCTTGGATACAAAAGGAAATCAAACGAGCGTACTGGCTGTGACTGGAGGAGAAAACCAGAGTGTAATGAACTGCAAGATATCGAGACGAACTGAAGTTGGAGTAGTGTCCTAAAAGGGAAACCAAAGGGAATTCTTCACTTCGTTTAGATACCAAAATATTAGAAAACACTGTAAAAGTCCCCAATGAAAATAAGTTACAATGAATTACTTATTTAATTAATTCAGTGAGAAATTTGGGACATGTCCCACACAATTACATCGTGAACCTTTTGGCCAGGAAGCCTCGCCATTATGGCACAGATTTCAACGATTTTAAGATAAATGTACTTGATATAACACTGTTTTAAGCCTGCAGCATCAGGTCACACAATCATTGCACAACCCAATCTCCTGAGGTGATGATTTTCATAAATACGTTTTTAAGCATATTTCTGGATATATGCGAATATAGGTAAAAAGTATACTCTGAAGGAGTGAAGGGATATCCCGGTTCTGAGGATCATTCGAATTATGATGTCTGTGTTCTAGCAAGACAGCTATTGAATGAGTGATTATGAATGTGTTTCCTTTAACTGGCTCACCTTACCTTGGTAGGAGACGGCTGGTGAATAATATAATAATAATAATAATAATAATAATAATAATAATAATAATAATAATAATAATAATAATAATAAATTCTTGTAAACCTTACATAATTTAATATAGTCTTACTTCTAATTCATTATGTAATCTTATTATAGTTTTATATTAAAGTGTTATGAACCTGAAGGAGTGAGGCTCGATCCTCCGTCCACTTATAGCATCCCGGTCTGTGACCAGCCAGGCTGTTGGTAACTGTCCCTCTGTTTGCAGAGCTACGTGGAATACTTCAGACCTGTGTTTGGCAAAGAAGGTTTCACTATGGCATGCCATATTATGAGACCGAAAAGTCGAGGCACTGTTACTCTCAGGTCCAATGACCCTCAGCGACCTCCACTCATTGACCCGAATTATCTGAGTCACCCTGATGACTTGGCCACCCTTGTCAGTGGTGAGTAGACACCCTGATGACCTGACTGTCCTCGTCAGTGGTATTTACCCTAAAGACCTGACCATCCTCAATCAGAGGTAAGTAGTTACCTGATGACCAACCTCGTCATTGGTAATTAGTCACCCTAGTTACTTGACTACCTTCGTCAGTGTTAAGTAGTCACCCTATATAGACGGTTTACAAAACTGACAATTTGAACAACGAGCCTTTTGTGTAACATCTGGGTATCTTCATTGTGGAAACGTTTCGCTAGCCAGTGGCTTCATCAGTCCACTACAGTGAAGAACGGTTTAAGATGAAAAGGAATTTGAGGTAATCAGTCTCTCAGCCAGATGAGTTCAATCAATTTTGGTAAAAGTACAGCACATGAACGGAGAAGTGAATGCAGGGAAGTGAAGCGAAGCAGTTGAAGGCCGAGTCACCAGTGAAAAACTCCACTAGTGGACGTAGGTCATGACTGTAGGTTAGTCAAACATCGGAGAATTCCATAAATCAAGATCCATAATGGTGCTGTCTGAGAGGTGAATAATTGGTTTATAGCACTTGTGTAATGTATATCTGTCATTCACAGCATCATCTTGGATCTCGATCCAAGGACTTCTTCAGTACTTGCCTACCCTATAGACTTACTTCCACTAGTGGATTTTTGCACCGGTGACGCCGCCTACAACTGCTGCGCCTCACCTCTCTGCAGTTTATAAACTTCTTCTCCGAGTATACATACTTTTCTCAAAACTGATGGACGGAATATATCTCCAGACTGAAGGACTGATTACCTCAAACCCCTCCTCATCTTCAACCACTGTTCTCTATATTTGGACTGATAAAACCAATAGCTGGTGAAACGTTTCCACAGTAAAGATATTTAAAAGTTCCACAGGTGGTCACCCTGGTGAACCGAACACCCTCCTGAGTGTAAAAATCTCCAGTCAAGGGGGGAGCCTTGATGCTGGTGAAGGGCTCTTGACCTAGGAAACTTGAGTTACCCTCCCATCCCCCTGACGCTGGACGACCCCTACGGGCTTGTCGCTTCCGAGTGAATAATCCTCATCTTTCTAATAAAAATTTAATGCAGACGTTTAAGCCTTATAATCAACGTCGAGGGCTAAACCCTTAGGGTTCTTAGAAGAACTGGTAAATAAGAATCAAGTTTGGTCCAAGGAAAGGGAGGGAAGCTCCAATTCCTCACCTCAAGAACCCCTTACGAGCAACAAGGTTCCTCTCTCCCCTTAAAGGGAATGAAGGTAATTAATAATGTATATTCATTAATGGATTCAAGGGAAACCTGTTAGCTGGACTTGAGTCCTGTAGGTCAGCAGTAAGATAAGATTTGTTAGGATTTTTAGCCTGGGGGAGGGTTAACCACCCAGAATAACCAAAAAAGTCAGTGCGTCTTCGAGGATTGTCTTATTTCCATTGTGGTCCATCAATCTTGTTCCCCAGGATGTGACCCACATCAGTCAACACCCAGGCACCTACTTACTGCTAGGTGAAAAGGGACAAGCAAGTGTATCGAAACATGCCCAGTGTTCCTACTCGGCTGGGGATTGAACTACGGACATTTAGTGTGACACCAAAGAGCGTTTTGCCTACAGAGCCACTAGAGGCTGCACTCTGATGGAGGGGTGAGGAAATAGTTGTGCGCTGAGTCATCTCTATTGCGATGTTTACGCATGTCTGGCTACACAACTATTTACTGAATGACTAATGTTTCTTATTGGGGGGAGGGGGTCATCCTTCCTTGGAGGCTGCTGGTCTGAGATCGGACCGTGGTGGCTGTGACCTCGTGAAGCGACTCCAGGTAAACACACACGGCTATTGAATGATAGTTAATACATCCACTTTTTTGTGTGTTACCGTTTCTTGGTGAAAGACGGCTGTGTGGTAAATGAAAAGATGTTTTTCTCAACAGCTGTGCGATTTCTACTGAAAGTGGGCAACACAACAGCCTTGGCACGCGGTCTTAGTGCTGAGTTCCACGACAAGGTAAAACTTATTGCTTTCGTTTTTTTGGGTCTGTGTACGTAAGTGCATACACAGCAATACACCTAGTTTTACTTAACCAACTGTACTTGAATAGCTTTTACCTCTCCAATATTGTCAATAAGTGCTCTAACAGTCACTACAAACATGTACTATAACTCGGTCATATTCAACATAACTTGCATCACTGCGCAATTGTAACAGACGATTTCAAGTCCAACACTTATAATTAATCGTTCAAAGAATTCCCCTGCTTTAAATGGTCAGACAAACCCAGTTTTCCTGTTACTTGTTGATCTACCAATGTAGGAGGGATGACTAAGGCCACGTTCGTTGACTGGACAGAGCATTACTTTATTCCTGTGGTCAAAATGCCTAGAAACAACCTTCTATTTACAGTTCTTCTCTCTTAATAATTTCTGTAATCATCCTTAAATCTTGCAGTCTTTGATCCCATATGTAAAAGTTTTGTTTAAATCTCTTAAATACAGCACTTTCGATACAGTCATTGGATCAAGAAGTTTGTAAGAGATTAAGTGTCACTGCATATCCAAGATAATGGAAAGATACATCGCAGCAACATTTCACAGATTTAATAGAAGACACACACGTACAAATGTGTAAGTGGATGTAGTCCCTGTTCAACCAGAAATGTCTGCTGGGGTAAACTGTGGCCAGCCGCGAATGTTTTCTCTGGTTTTCCATTCGTGCAGTGAGGTCTAGGAGACTGTGTATCTAGTATAGACTGAGATGTGAAAGTTTTGGTGTGTACGAAGAAGACATAGTTGAACTCGTAGAAAAAGATGATAAATAATCGACTGTAGAAGAAATGCTCTAGGAGCTCAATTCTCGGAGGAAGAACAATAAGATAAACAGTTAACACTGCTGGAGTTTCGCTTCTATCTTTATAATATTCACTAGACTGATAAAATTCACCATTTTTAAAGTATTGGAGGGGCCCCGTTTATACAGCACGTTTGGTTCTGGGTTACTACTGTAAAGCTAAAATCGCTGTAGCGTGAATCATAGCCTTTTTCTCACTTTGAAATGCAGATAAAAGCCTGAGAACATGTTTACACTATCATATATCAGTGCGAAATATAGCTAATCCTAAAAATTCATATACAGTACACATATGTGGTGAATATATTTGTTGGAAGTCTGAATAAATGAAGAATGGGTATAACTGAAAACCGCTGGATTAGCGAAACGCTGTAAAGCAAAACGCTGTAAAGTGAAACATTGTAAAGCTTGGGGGATGGCTCCTGTATTAGGATATTTTTAAATATTGTTTCGTATTTTTTGGATGATTTCCTACATATAACTTTTCGTATTAGAAATTTTTCAAAACACTGCACTGTGAGAGGATTTTACTCTATTATATTTAAAATACCTAAAATTATATGGACATTGTTACCGGAACTATGGATGCATTAACACCAAAAATCATGATAACTCACTCAATTCAAATGTCTCACTTTAATTAACTTTCTGTTTACTGCAACTGTTCAACTCACATTTCCATTCTCATGTTCGTGGGCAAATGCAATATTAATATATTCATTTACCTTGTATTATGATGGAAGTTGATGTTTGAAAGGGGTGGAAACGAGAGACTTTCACAATTAATTTTCACAGCAATGATAGTTGTAAATATATTAATTATAATGATATTTCTGTTTTGGCTATAGCCTCTGCCAGGCTGTGAGACGGAGACATACGACAGTGACGCCTACTGGGCCTGCTACGTGAGCCATCTGGCCGCCAGCTACCTACATCCAGCTGGCACCTGCAAGATGGGTCCTCCTACTGATCCCTTCAGCGTGCTCGACCATCAGCTCAAGTAGGTGAAGACCCCTCAGTGAGGGATGCCCTTTTGCCTCTGAGAAGTTCTCGATGCAAGTAGCTGGAGGCATCCCTCTCCTTGGATCAAACCTGATTGCCTCTCACACGAGTTCAGTGCGTCCCTAGGAATATATGAAGATGAATTGCATCCATGTATGCTTAAAAACAATGTTGAAATTGCTATTTTTAATACAGGGACTTGAGGCTGTGTGTGTGTGTGTGTGTGTGTGTGTGTGTGTGTGTGTGTGTGTGTGTGTGTGTATGTGTATGTGTGTGTGTTCACCTATTTATGGTTGCATGGGTCGAGTCATAGCTCCTGGTCTCGTGGTGTGTGTTGGGAAAGGATGGGCAGGTATACGTAGGGAAAGGCTGTAATAGCTCCATATGGGTAGCTGTATGGATGGTAGTTGTGTCGTGGTAGCTGTATGGATGGTAGTTGTGTCGTGGTAGCTGTATGGGTGGTAGTTGCGTGGGGGTAGTTGTATGGGTGGTAGCTGCGTGGGGGTAGCTGTATGGGTGGTACTTGTCTGGGGGAAGCTGAATGGGTGGAAGCCGGTGTGGGGTAGTTATGTGGACGGTATACATGTGGGAAGAGTGAGTGTACATTAACCATGACTATTAAAGGCATAAAACAACGTACATTAACCATCAGTATCAAAGGCATGCAACAAATATATAAATTATATATATATATATATATATATATATATATATATATATATATATATATATATATATATATATATATATATATATAAAACAATGTATATATGTCGGGAAGGGTCCTTAAGTGAAGTACAGGTGGTAAATAACAATGACTGAGACGGTAACCTGGTATATTGAGAACAGGTAGTGGGAAACCCAGCCTGCAGTCTTGTCCTGTCTGCCTGAGGGTATGTGATTCACTGACCAACCCTCACTGTGAGGCATCTAGCAGAGCTTAACTCTGCTGACCTGACAATATTTGAAGTCCGTGGCATCACGGCTAACGTACGTTGAATTATGCTGACAGCTCGGCGACGCTTACATATGGCATCCTGATATGCAGATAATTAGATAGACAACAGACTTGTCAGGTTCTGGGCTGATATTATACAATACTAGATATGTTATACAAAATAATGTACAGTATACGTAATATAATATTTAGGACACTTAAATTTAAGTGAATCTAACTGCAATTGATTGGAATTCATTATGATAATTTACAAAAAATGGTGGATCATAGTAGAATAAATAAAAAAAAATAGAACTAAACAATAGAGAATTAGATCGATCGATTGTTTACTTGATCTGTGGATTCTGAGGAAATTTATTTACAAAGTGTTTATCAGAAAAGGCAAACTTGGTGCACACAATTCTTTTACTGTTAAATCTCAGAACTCGGAGAAAACGTGAGCATTATAAGAACATAAGAACATAAGAAAGGAGGAACACTGCAGGAGGCCTGCTGGCCCATACTAGGCAGGTCCTTTACAATTCATCCCACTAACAAAACATTTGCCCAACCCAATTTTCAATGCCACCCAAGAAATAAGCTCTGATGTGAAAGTCCCACTCAAATCCAACCCCTCCCACTCATGTACTTATCCAACCTAGATTTGAAACTACCCAAAGTCCCAGCCTCAATAACCCAACTAGGTAGACTGTTCCACTCATCAACTACCCTATTTCCAAACCAATACTTCCTATGTCCTTTCTAAATCTAAACTTATCTAATTTAAATCCATTACTGTGGGTTCTCTCTTGGAGAGACATCCTCAAGACCTTATTAATATCCCCTTATTAATACCTATCTTCCACTTATACACTTCGATCAGGTCTCCTCTCATTCTTCGTCTAACAAGTGAATGTAACTTAAGAGTCTTCAATCTTTCTTCATAAGGAAGATTTCTAATGCTAATGTATTAATTTAGTCATCCTACGCTGAATGTTTTCTAACGAATTATGTCCATTTTGTAATACGGAGACCAGAACTGAGCTGCATAATCTAGGTGAGGCCTTACTAATGATGTATAAAGCTGCAGTATGACCTCTGGACTTCTGTTGCTTACACTTCTTGATATAAATCCCAGTAATCTATTTGCCTTATTACGTACGCTTAGGCATTGCTGTCTTGGTTTAAGGTTGCTGCTCACCATAACCCCCAAGTCCTTTTCGCAATCTGTATGGCTAAGTTCTACATCATTTAACTTATAAGTACTAGGGTTATGGGCACTCCCAAGCTTCAGAACCTTGCATTTTTCTACATTGAACTGCATCTGCCACTTTTCTGACCAAGAATAGAGTTTGTTTAAATCCTCCTGAAGTTCCATAACATCTACGTTTGAATCAATTATCCTACCTATCTTTGTGTCATCGGCGAATTTGCTCATATCACTAGTAATTCCCTCATCAAGATCATTGATATATATTATAAACAACAACGGGCCCAAGACTGATCCCTGTGGAACGCCACTTGTTACAGATCCCCACTCGAATTTAACCCCATTTATGGACACTCTCTGCTTCCTGTCAGTGAGCCATGACTCGATCCACGAGAGCACTTTTCCCCCAATGCCATGAGCTGCCACTTTCTTTAACAGTCTATGGTGCGGAACTCTATCAAAAGCCTTACTAAAATCTAAGTAAATAATATCAAATTCTTTATTGTGGTCAACAGCCTCAAAAGCTTTACTGAAGAAAGTTAATAAATTAGTTAGACAAGACCGGCCTCTTGTGAATCCATGCTGAGTATCATTAATTAAGCTATGCTTATCGAGATGGCTTCTTATAATCTCAGCTATAATTGACTCTAGTAATTTGCCTACAATTGAGGTCAGGCTTATTGGGCGGTAATTTGACGGTAACGACTTGTCCCCTGTTTTAAAAATAGGAGTTACATTAGCCATCTTCCACATATCAGACACTACACCTGTTTGAAGAGATAAATTAAAAATATTAGTTAATGGTTCACAGAGTTCCATTTTGCATTCCTTAAGAACCCTTGAAAAAACCTCATCAGGACGACTTATTTTGCTTCAGTCGGTCTATCTGCTTCACAACCATCTCACTAGTGACTGTGATGTTACATAATTTATCTTCTTCTAGCCCACTGTAAAAATTAATTACTGGAATATTGTTAGTGTCTTCCTGTGTAAAAACTGAGAGAAAATAATTATTTAAAATCAAGCACATTATGATTATGATCCACTTTTTGGATTATACTTTTTATCTATACATGCTATATTTAACCCCCAACTCTGCTAGGGTGAGATTTAAATATGCAGAGTGGTCATCATCTCCGGGGAAGGATGGGAGGGGGGGGGGTCAAATTCTGTTGCAACTGCTAATACGCATGGTTGGAGAAGATCAACAATAGTATTAATTGAAACCTGAATATTCCTCATTGTTTGTCGTGTATGTAGAGAATAGCGGCAATCGGACTGGTCAACTTTCTTGAAGGTCGTGGCATCACGGCTGACGTATGTTGAATTATGCTGACATATTAACTACGAATATTAAAGGCATATAACAATATGCATTAACCACGAATACTATCAAAAGCATACAACAATGTGCATTAACCAAGATTATTAAAGACTTACAACATTGCACGAATATTAAAAGCATACAGCAATGTACATTAAATTAACCACGAATATCAAAAGCATACAAAAATGTATATTAACCACGAATTTTAATGGAACAGCGAGGGAAATTTTGCCCTGTAGTTTGGCCTCTTTTAGTGTCTATTGTATTTATGGAAAGATGTATCCATAAAATGTGCCATAAATAAAATATGTGTGTGTATCCATGAAACAGCATATACCATTAATCAAAGATACATATGCATCCATGAAATATGTGTCATAAATCGAAAAGATAATGCACAGGCTGGGCAAAAAGGCCTATATTGAGGTCTCTTAATGCGGATGATGATTATAATCAAAACTAACCGTTAATCCACAATGGCCTTACAGCGCTGCTTAATGCCGGTGAGAGGTCCTTGATCCAAGGAATTTCATCTCTCCTGCCCTTGGACTGAACCCTTTTCTCTCATTTCTCCAGGCGCTTCATGGCCCCTCCGGGATAAGCGCTTCCCTTAATAATAATAATAATAATAATAATAATAATAATAATAATAATAATAATAATAATAAATAAATAAAAAGTAATAATAGTGGGCAAAACGTCGCATAAATAAAAGGCTTACTACGTTAAAAATCATTTTGTGACAATCGCTATTGCCTGCTTGTCAAAAAATGTGTCTGTTTTTTTAAATAAGAACAGCCGATTTTGTTTATTCTCCACTACACACGCTGAGTGCGCGTCACTGGCTGCCTATAGAGGTTAGTAGACAACAAACTATCAGTTACCTTCGAGAAAACGGAAGCCATACTCTTTGGCACAAGACATGAAATGAGAAGGGTAAATAATTTTTTTAATGTCCGGTGTAATGGGGAACCCATCACTTCAGTTTCCTCAGTAAAATATCTGGAGATCCCCTTTGACCCATGTATGTCAAGAGAACTGATAGGGAACAATGTATTAAAGAAAGCGAATGCCTGACTGAAGTTCTTCTGCAGACAAGCACAGTGTCAACTTACTGAGGCTCGCAGGACCCTATGTCTAGCCCTTATACAATGTCATATGGACTACGCTTGCTCTTCATGGTACTTTGCCTTGACAAAAAAAAATGAAACTGGAAGATAAACTGTAAATCACCCAGAACAAAATGGTAAGATTCATCCTGGACTTGGGTCCAAGAGAGCATGTAGGCCAGGATGAATTACAACAATTGGTTATGCTGAATGTTGAAGACAGAGTAAAACAACGGAAGTTAAATCAAGTTTATAAAATTGCCCACAGTGTCCAGAACATCTTGCTGCCAATTTTGTCAAGTCTGGGAACCAAAACAATCACAGTACTATGGGGAGAGACAAAGGGAGGAATTTATTTTTTTTAGCTAACACACATGTAAATGCAAATAACTCATTTAACCTTATTCCTAGTATATCTCCTTTATAGTATAATAAATTATCTCATTCATAGCATAATAAAAAGGTGTTAAAGAACCCCAATAGAAATAAGCCACTAGGTTCTGTACACACATGCTGCTATGTATGAGAATCTATGTAACTGTATTTGTGTATAAACTTAAACTGCTGCCTGCAGGGTACGTGGTGTTGGAGGTCTCCGTGTGGTGGACGCGTCCGTGATGCCCGTCCTGGTCTCAGGCAACACCATCGCTCCAGTTATCATGATTGCTGAGAAGGCAGCAGACATGATCAAGAACGACTGGCGAGCTGTCTGACCATGAATGTAATTTAATCACTCCGATGGAGATTCCAAGCGCTTGTGTGAACTCTTAAGTGACGTTCTCAAGCAATGTGAGAGAGTACGAACGACCTAGGAAACTGTATTGGTGAATAAGGTTAGAACTTAGCTTTTCGAATTCAAGAGGTGTCAGTAAAGGGATATATCGCATCTTCACCACCAGCAAAGAATATTGTAAACTCACGGTGTACACCTCCCTGTGTATATACCGATATACACCTCCCTGTGTATATACCGATATACACCTCCCAGTGTATATACTGATATACACCTCCCTGTGTATATACTGATACACTTCACGGTGTATTTATCGGATATGTATTATCCTAAGTGGTTAAATTGCATAAAGATATCGCTCGCCGTTTCTCATCCTGTTGTTTAATAATGTGTATAAAAGTTATTTATAATTATAACAAATGTTAATAAATTTTAATTTATGATTTTTTGTGTGTTATTAGTGTCCTGCTTCGAATGAAATTAATTCACTGTTTTGGATTCAATTAGAGTAATTATGGACTTATGGACTTTGCAATGGTTATTAAGGCTGCAGGTTAACTGTGAACCGTAATATAAGCATTTATGAAGGGATTCAGTGAAACTGGCAAGCCGGACGCTTTCGTGATTTTTCACATTATAAAAGAATGGTAAAATAATGCAATTGAAATCTTATATAGCTGAATCCTTGTTCAAAATGCATTAAGTTTTATTCTGAACTAATTGGAAAATATAATAATAATTAGAAAAAATGAGTATTTTTATTATTAGCAAATTAGGCGCTAAACACGAAAGGGTCATACAGCGTTTAACTACGGCAAAATAAACACACTAGAATAGAATTTATTCTTTGTTTACTGATACGACAGATTTTAACCACCCCAATGTAAATAATCGAAACAGATATTAGTCTTCCAAATTCTGACTATTTCTATTAATTAGCATTTCATAATTTTTTAATGAATATAATATGAATGACTTACGCTCAATACCATGGTACAAAGTAATGCTCGATTCCTATACAATATTCTGTTTTATATTACATCAATAGACAATAACAGTTACATTGTGACAATGCAATATTGAATCATGATGCAGGGATAGAATAATATAGCGATATAATAATAATGATAGCATTACCACTGTAGATTGTAGACTGTTTGCCTGTCGTGGTCAACACTTACCTAGAAAGTGCAGTACTGAAATATTGATCTCTACTAGTGGTTGGATTATGTACTGACCCATAGCACTGGTTACCAAGTGCTGCGTACAATGGCTCCTATCTGTCTGTTACCGAGGATGATGCCATTACTAATATTCCTGCTGGAGGATATGTTGACATGGAAGTCCTTTTGTAAATATACTTATTAGTTGAGTTAGCTTTGCGTGTTTGGATATGCAATACAGCGCGTGTCTGGATGTGGAGGTAAACATTGTGTTTAAGTGGAGAGCGGATGATGTATTGAGTTAAGTGGCAACAGATTTCGAGTGCAACATCAGGGAGGTCATCTCTTGTGTGCACGCGACGGCTGTGACAGTAAGCAGCACCCCGTCTGCTAGCTCGCAGGACCCGTCGAGCAGCGGCGTCGACAGCTCACCGTCACCTGGAGACCATGGGTCGTCACCTGTGGCTAGTGTGGTGCTTGTGGTGCGTCACAGGGAGGACAAGAGCCACTCCTACATACAACATTGATACTTCTGACCTGGGCCACGGCTCTCACGAACAAGATCACTACCTGGACCTCCCCAGCACACACAGCCAGTCAGAAATGTCACGAATGCTTGAAGAACAAATGGAACTTTTGATGGTCTGTACTAGATAACATTGCTATTTGTGTTGGCAATTAGCAACATTTTAAGTAGATGAAATCTCCATCCCCTACACCTCCTCCACCTTACACAACCATCTATTTCATTAAAATGGTATAAAATACCGACAGATTGTTAGGTAAGACACATATGCAACAGTTAGGTATCTTTATTTCGAAACGTTTCGCCTACACAGTAGGCTTCTTCATTCGAGTACAGAAAAGTTGATAGAAGCAGAAGAGACTTGAAGACGATGTAATCAGTCCATCACCCTTAAAGTTTTGAGGTGGTCAGTCTCCAGACTGAGGGACTGACCACCTCAAAACTTTAAGGGTGATGGACTGATTACATCGTCTTCAAGTCTCTTCTGCTTCTATCAACTTTTCTGTACTCGAATGAAGAAGCCTACTGTGTAGGCGAAACGTTTCGAAATAAAGATACCTAACTGTTGCATATGTGTCTTACCTAACAACCATCTATTTCATTTCTGATATGCAGCGCTGTGAGACCCCTCACGAATTTTTGCCTGCCATGAATACAAAAATAATGTATCATAACGAATAACATCTTATAAAGATCAAAGGAAAAAATAATCATAAAAAATGCATTTGCGTTTTCTATCCCTTAAAAACAAAGTTTAAACTGTATTTTCAATACGCAAGCAAGTGCTTATTTAGTTGCCTTTGTATCTGCTTGGATGTTTTTACTGCTTCGTTGCTTATATAGGAATACAAGAGTACTGTAAGCGGCCTACTGCCGCATGCTAGGCTGGTCCTATTACGCACCTAGCATGCTAGGCTGGTCCTTCTCTCTCTCTCTCTCTCTCTCTCTCTCTCTCCTCACACACACACACACACACACACACACACACAGCATGCTATCCTAGTCCTACACACACACACACTACCACACACACACACACACACACACACACACACCATCCACACACACACACACACACACACAGCATGCTATCCTAGTCCTACACACACACACACATACACACACACACACACACACACAGCATGACAGGCAGTAAATCTTATATATGTGTGTATAACGTCTATTCATTCTTCAATTATCATCGGGAATCGCTTAATCCACAAACGTCTTAACTGATTAATACTGTCTGGCTTGCCATTTCAGTAGATTCCATCTCTAAAATTAATAAAAATTATAAAACAGCTTTATGTTAGTAAGACACAGTGTGTGGTTTATAAAGATGTGACCGAATTATTATTATAATCAAGGGGGAAGCGCTAAACCCGGAGGATTATGCAGCGCCCCTGGGGGGGATGTGGAAGGCATTCAGTCTTAACTTCGGGGAACTGGAGCACAGATCCAATTCCCTAAATCAAGAGCCCCTCACCAACATCAAGGAACCTTCCTTGAGGGGATGTGACCGAAGCAATTTGCCAGCTCATGATGTGGACGCTGGAGAAGTTGTCTCAAAACTGCGCAAATATTTCGTCCTCCAAAAGGACACTTGTGCAACTAATGTGCTTCCTACCTAGCACTGTTACTTCTCTCAGCGATGGATAAACAGAGTACATGTGCCTGCTTTTTGTTTTTGTTTTTGCCCTTCTAAAATAAATGGTAAAGTCTCTGATGAATAAGACCCATCTTTAAAACCTGTGTATCTTCATTCTGAAGACGTTTCGCCTAGCCATGGCCTTGTCAGTTCAATACAAAGGTGAAGAAACTGGTGAAGTAGATGAAGTAATCAGTCCCTTATTAAGTCCCTGGTGGGTGATACCCACCTCATACTATCTTATTAACACACTATCTTATTAACATATTTGTCGATAAGTAATACGACTATTATACACAGTCCACGGTGCCCCGTGGCCTGATCTCTAAAACTCTCGCTTCACACGGCGAGGGTCTGCATTCGATTCCCACCGAGGGTAGAAACATTGGGCGTGTTTCTTTATACCTGTTATCTATGTTCACCCATCAGTAAAATGGGTACCTACGGGTTAGTCGACTGGTGTGGGTCGCTTCCCGGGACAAGGACCTAATTTGCCAGAAATGCTCTGCGTAACAAGGAGCTTTCTATGTAGTAGTATGTCAGCTATGGTCTGCATACCGTGTACATGTACTTGTAGTAAATAAAGATATTAATTAATTTTTAGAAGTTAATTTGTCGAGATTGTTACAAGTCCTGCTTTGGTTAGATAGTTTTTTTGTCTCTTACTGTATCCCAGTTATTTATTCCTGCCTTCCTTGCACACCTCACGCGTATTTTTTTATTCAACTTATTGCAAACACGCATGCAGCACATAAGTATCTATATTTGACGTTTCGCCGTCGGGAAAAAGCCTTAATGGAGGTAAAAGTATCTTGATTTACGGATTAGGACTACTTTCCACTTTCCAAGATCAAACCTAATTACCTCCCATATATATATATATATATATATATATATAATTATATATATATATATATATATATATATATATATATTGGTGAGGTGTGGTCTAGACCCTTTATATGCCTTCCTTTGATGTATTACTTTTATAGTTCCTTGATAATGTGAGAAGTCACGAAAGCGCTTGAAATTTCACTATTCTTTCACAGTGGTTTTTTGCATACATATATAATTTAGAATGAGCTGAGACAAGTAGAACACAAACCCGGGTGTAGGAAACAACACTGATGTAGTGTGTGCCCTGGTGCCATGGTGAGAAGTGCCCTGGTGAGGGTGAGAAGTGCCATAAATACTGATGGGTGTGAAGTGAGAAACCAATTAGACAAAGAAAAAATACACAAGTAAAAAGAAAATCAACGTTTCGGTCATGAAGACCATCTTCGGTCAGAAGTTCTTTTCTAGGATGGCAAGTAGTGAAGACAATTATAACAGAAAGTGTGTACAGAGCATATCTATATTGCAACGTTTCGCTCAGTGGAGATCTTTAACAAGTCATAACTAACAATTAATAAGTTTTTAAAATTTGTCCAAGTGTCAACCTACCAGAAGAAGGCGCTGGATTCTGGCGAAATTGTTGGCTGGTTAACTTGATGTAATCAGACCAACCTCACGAGAGTTGTTAAAATTGCTTTCAACTTGGTCACCACCAGACAAGTATACTTTAATCCCTAATACAAGGATTTAAATATACTGTATGTATACAAGTATCTCTCGGTGTATACCAGACAAGTATACTTTAATCCCTAATACAAGGATTTAAGTATACTGTGTATATACAAGTATCTCTCGGTGTATACCAGACAAGTATACTTTAATCCCTAATACAAGGATTTAAGTATACTGTGTGTATACAAATATCTCCGGTGTATACCAGACAAGTATACTTTAATCCCTAATACAAGGATTTAAGTATACTGTGTGTATACAAATATCTATCAGTGTATACCAGACAAGTATACTTTAATCCCTAATACAAGGATTTAAGTATACTGTGTGTATACAAATATCTCTCGGTGTATACCAGACAAGTATACTTTAATCCCTAATACAAGGATTTAAGTATACTGTGTGTATACAAATCTCTCTCGGTGTATACATCCTGTGAGGCAAAATACACAGCTATATTTCCATTACCTGGAGGTTACCTGGAGGCTATTCCGGGGATCAACGCCCCCGCGGCCCGGTCCATGATCAGACCTCTCGATGGATCAGGGCCTGATCAACTAGGCTGTTACTGCTGGCCGCACGCAGATAACATAGGTATCTTTTATTTTGGCGGACAAAATGGTTCCTCAACTTTCTCACAATATTTTATTAAAACCTTATTAATTATTATGATTATTATAATCAAAAAGAAGTGTTAAACCTAGTTAAAACCTTAAAACCTCAGTGTTTTATATTCAGAAAGTTAGGTATTTTCCTAGTTTATGATAGTGTGCACACATTTTTATTTATAATTTGCTTGACTTCATACTAGCTAAGGTTACCAGTTTATTTGACTTCATACTAGCTAAGGTTACCAGTTTATTTGACTTCATACTAGCTAAGGTTACCTGTTTATTTGACTTCATACTAGCTAAGGTTACCTGTTTATTTGACTTCATACTAGCTAAGGTTACCAGTTTATTTAACTTCATACTAGCTAAGGTTACCAGTTTATTTGACTTCATACTAAGGTTACCTGTTTGATTTCATACTAGCTAAGGTTACCTGTTTATTTGACTTCATACTAGCTAAGGTTACCTGTTTATTTGACTTCATACTAGCTAAGGTTACCAGTTTGACTTCATACTAGCTAAGGTTACCTGTTATTTGACTTCATACTAGCTAAGGTTACCTGTTTATTTGACTTCATACTAGCTAAGGTTACCTGTTTATTTGACTTCATAGTAGCTAAGGTTACCTGTTTATTTGACTTCATACTAGCTAAGGTTACCTATTTGACTTCATACTAGCTAAGGTTACCTATTTGACTTCATACTAGCTAAGGTTACCTATTTGACTTCATACTAGCTAAGGTTACCTATTTGACTTCATCTAGCTAAGGTTACCTATTTGACTTCATACTAGCTAAGGTTACCTATTTGACTTCATACTAGCTAAGGTTACCTATTTGACTTCATACTAGCTAAGGTTACCTATTTGACTTCATTCTAGCTAAGGTTACCTGTCTATTTGACTTCATACTAGCTAAGGTTACCTATTTGACTTCATACTAGCTAAGGTACTCTATTTGACTTCACACTAGCTAAGGTTACTATTTGACTCATACTAGCTAAGGTTACCTATTTGACTTCATTCTAGCTAAGGTTACCTGTCTATTTGACTTCATACTAGCTAAGGTTACCTGTCTATTTGACTTCATACTAGCCAGGGTTACTTGTTTATTTGTTTGACTTCATACTAGCTAAGGTTACTTGCTTGCTTTCTGCTTCCTGGCGGGTGTCGAACCCCAGGCTGGTGCAAGAGTACTCACATGCTAACAACACACAAGATAAAATTAGCATATATGGTTCTGCCCTCTGGACGGGTAGCCAAGTTATTTCTGGCCCGCGTTATGATTATTATTATTTATTACGACAATTAGCATTAAATATTTTATTTATCGTTGGTATTGTCTTTACTACTCAGGTACAACTTTTTTTTTAATTATTCCGTTTCATTAATTCTGTTGGCAGTCGGTGTAAAACCCATATGGGTTTATCGTTCCCCATTATTAATGCTATGACAGTAGTAGTAGCAGTAATAATAATCGTAGGAATAATAATAATAATAATAATAATAATAATAATAAATAATAATAATAATGATGGTTGTTTTGACAGAGTTACGAGTGATGGTGGTGAGAGTGGACAACCGCACTGAGCTCCTCACTCACATACTACTGGGAAGAGTACAAGACCTCTCGCACACGCTCAAATCTCACCTCCAGCACCACTCTAACCTAACTCAGGGTGAGTGAGCCTCACTCGTAATGTCTGTTGGTCTGTTTGTGTACTGTACCTCTGTGTGTGTATACTTGTATATACACTGTGGGACTAGTGCATTCTTGACCTATGGTGAGCAGGGGTATTCAGTTTGTATAACCACAGTGTAATCGATAGATTTGAAACCTCATAAAAGTAAGAACTGAATTATGGTCTCTCTCTGTGTATATCTTTGTGTTTGTATGTATCTTTTTGTTTGTGTGTATCTGTGTTTGTGTGTTTGTGTGTATCTGTGTTTGTGTGTTTGTGTTTGCATCTTTGTGTGTTTCATTGTGTTTGTATGTTTCTTTGTGTATGTATATTTCTTTGTGTTTTTATCTTTGTGTTTGTACGTTTCTTGTTGTTTCTATATATCTTTGTATGTCCATCTCGGTGGGCCTGTTGTTTGCGTGTCTATGTTATTTGTCTTTGTCTTTCTCTGTCAAACTGTCTGTCAGTCAGTTTGTCTGTATGTATTTATGAGGGTTTGAGTATATCCGTAGACATAGGTTTGCTAGTTAATGTAGGCTATATTTTCGTATATTTTAACTATGTCAATCATTCTACTAACTTGCACATGTAGTAACAGTTGTCATATATCCCATCCTAGAACTTTACCAGGTTAATGATTTTATGTATTTTAAACAGAACATGAAAATCAGATAGGTTACGCAGGCCAGATGATGCTTAGCCAGCCACTCGTCATCATTTGACAAAGACCCGTGATAGGAAACCCTCTGTTTCCTGAGGAGGTAAAATCTGTCGTGACAGATGTCGTTCAAAAGCAAAACAGGTCACAAGGGGATGAAAAGCACTAGCTCTAGGCCTCTCGCTCTTCCTTGCTTTGTCAGGAGCTATGCAATACTGTGAGAGTTGCAACGGGTATGTAAAAGGGAAATATTCTGTCAGAGGTAGACATGTGTGTCTAGCTGCTAGACACACATGTGCTAGACTCTAGCACATGGCTGGTCCTATGTACGATAGTGGAATCTCTGCACCACTGTACCCACCCTCGCTCTAGCATCCTCCCCCCATGTTGGGTACGGGTTACCCCTGAAGGTTTGCAGACAACACAATGATGTGAAAACTCTAAAAGACTACCCAATAACCGCGTCAAATGAATATCTAGTCTAGTGCCATTATTATATTTATAAGAACCATAATTATCAACAATGGTTATAAATGACCATAATTTTTAAAGGGGTGGACCGGTAAGCCAGCGGAAGGCCTCGGTCAGATGACCAAAAGCTCCAAAGGCGGGTCATCATCTGACTAAGACCCGCGTCAGGAAACATTTGTCCTGTTTCCTGACGAACCTAACCTAACCTAACCTAACCTGTTGCACTACTGCTTCAGTGTTGTGTGTAACTTTGGAGTTACATAAGACATGAACGTATATTGCTCATTGCCGCTTCTAACTGAAGTTACGTTGGGTTTAGAACGTTCTAGTAATGTGTTTGGTACTCCGGTTCACTAATGATAATAATCCAGCTTCGCTATAGAAAAAATTATCATAAATAACACAAAAAAAGGCACAATACCGTGACTGGAACGATATACAAATAACCCGCACATAAAAGAGAGAAGCTTACGACGACATTTCGGTCCGACTTGAACCATTGACAAAGTCACACTAACCAGAAGTGGAGCAGGACGGCTATATATAGGCAGGAAGAGGTGGAGGTAGTAGTAGTAGTAGTAGTACAAGAATGGTATATAATACCGACAAGATGAAATTAAGACACATGCACTACCACCACCTCTTCCTGCCTATATATAGCCGTCCTGCTCCACTTCTGGTTAGTGTGACTTTGTCAATGGTCCAAGTCGGACCGAAACGTCGTCGTAAGCTTCTCTCTTTTATGTGCGGGTTATTTGTGTAAAAATTATCATGTGTGGTTTTACGGATTCCTGAGCATTTGAGTGTTCCGTAGTTATTCCAATAACATAACCCTAATTTTTGAAGGGGTGGACCGGTAAGCCTGCGGAAGGCCTCGGTCAGTTAACCAAAAGCTCCAGTGGCGGGTCATCATATGACTAAGACCCACGTCAAGAAATTTTTGTCCTGTTTCTTAACGAATCTTACCTAACCTAGTTATTCCAGAGTATCTTCGGATATTCATGAATTTTTTTCGAATATTCTTGAATATTTCTCATCTCATACCTGTCGACCCTTCTAAACTTTAGGAAATTATTAGCGTCGGCTTAGAGATTCTTGAGTATTTAAATATTCCTGAGTATTTCTATTTATTCATGGTACTTTTAAATATTCCTGTGTATTTCATACCTCACACATGTCGACCCCTCATGAACACTGACAATTTTCATTGTTGGTTTAAATAACATTTCTTTCTTCTAAAACCTACCTATTAAAGAGACATCACCAACTGCTTTTAGAGTATTTGTTAAAGTATAAAGTCAATACATTTTTATTTCGAGTATCCCAATCTACCCTTATAAAAGAACAATGGCAAAAAGTTGACAAATACGTGTCAAAATTGACGTAGCAACATTAATAACTTTACAGTGGCGACACACACACACACACACACACACACACACACACACACAGTTTATCATCACAACATTCATCAGGAGACGCTGAAACTGCAAGGGTCACACAGCTTCGTGGAAAAACGGAAGGTAATCAGGTTCGATATAAAGGGAAGCGTACCTCAGACTTCCTGGATCAAGAACCTTCATGGGGCATCGAGGTACCCTCTTTCAAGGGCCATAATGCAGAACAATACCAGCCACAACACCATAATCTAGTCATATCTGTTAATTTCTGATGGAAGAGCCTCTCCTTCCCCCTTTCAACAGTCTTTGCTGGTAAGAGATCTTGATCCGAGGTATTGGAGCTACCTGCCTCTTTCAATCAAACCTGACAAATCTCTTTCCTGAGGTGCCATAGGATCCTTGTGGGTTCAACGCTTTCCCATTGACAGTTGTGGGACGGGAGTTACAAAGGTGTAACACAACTGGATTTTCGTGTTGACAGAGTTGAGTATGATGGCGACAGTGTGGAGGAGTTGACCAGGAGCTGGAGCACACACCTGCAGCACGAGCAGGGTGAGTATACTACTCGCACTCTCGTTTTTAAGAGTTTCCCCTTAATATAGTTCCTCATTTATAAGTTTCCCCTTAATATAGTTCCTCATTTATAAGTTTCCCCTTAATACAGTTTCTCATTTGTAAGAGTATCTCCTCTTAAATGTTCTCTTATAAACATTTTTCTGGCCCATTTTCTCTCTTTCCCTTTATATTTAAATATTTTCCCATGTAATTTCCATATACATGTTACAAAAAACGCGATATCTAATAAGCATAGAGATCTCCAGTGAATAGTTTACCTGGAGTTTACCTGGAGAGAGTTCCGGGGGTCAACGCCCCCGCAGCCCGGTCTGTGACCCGGCCTAGAAACTGCCCTTCTAGCATCCAGCCTGTTACTGGTCCAATTATCCATTAGAATTTAGTAAGATTCAATAGTGCTTCAGGATTACAACTGGTAGGCTACTAAAGAAATTAAAATTTTAATAAGTTTATTAATACTAAAGTTTTCTAGGCGTATATTAAAATAAATTATAGTAATCAATTGAATATAATATAGGATACAAGTTCCTACACTTCTCTCGTGTACAGTAGTATTGTGCTGAAGGCACATATCACATCATTATGGCTTTTATGTACCGTCTGGTACATTGTTAGAATTTAAAAACCATAATACAAATATATACAAGTAAGTTTGTGTGTATGTGTGTAAGTGCTCTAAGTAGTTCGCTATGTCTCAAGAATCAGCTAGACTTAACCAGTGACTGACTAAAAGTCCTCACATAGACTAACTTCTTGACCAACCTGGCAATCAGAACAGCTTGCTTGAACAATAAAACGACTGATAAGCCGAACAGCAATATAACAAGCAACAGCGACACAGACTCAGGAACAAGGAGATAATATAACACACTAATACGGACCATCTGCAGATCCTCCACAAAAGCCACAAAACTCCCATACTACTGAGTCTAAGTTCAGCATTAGAAAATCCCCGACTGTGACAGTACACAGATACCAGTACAAATTAGGTCAGAAGCTACAGCTCAGGACCTGGGTTGCTCAGAGTGTCTATGCGACACACAACCTCAGTACAACGTCGAAAATCACGAAGTCTAGACAATGTTCTGTGAACAGAGTTCCACAGAACCAACAAGAAAGCAACAGAGTCGATCTTCCAACAAGGGCTAGTAAGGAAGACACGTCTTGTCGGAAGCCAAGCCAAAACGGAAAAAAGAGCTAGTCATAGCAAGACAGTCTCACCCAGGTGAGGTGTGATCACCCCCCCCCCCCCCCGATCACGTGACTCTCCGTGGACTGCTGCTGCCCAGCAACACAGAGAAGCCGGCAGAGAAACAAGCGGAACTGGTAGTTAGACAATCAAGACTTGAACTACGAGCACTGAATAATATATATAAATGTTACATCCTACCTAATAATATAACTAAGTCAAATAATATAAAGCAATATATTTACGATTTAGCTATTATTGCAATAAGCAATATAAAATTATAAGAACAGGTAATATACATTATATACATTGACCCATTCAGGGGTCGCAGTAATACACAACTTCAATATTTTTGTGCAAATTTCCTATATATTTTTTCCAGTAATATCATTTCCTAACATTTCCTAGATTCATCCATTACACTTTTTTATTTTTTAATTAATTTCACTACTTTCCATGTAATTATTTAAGGAAGTTTACTTAGGTACAGGTACACCTAAGTACAATTATAATGCACAGTAATATGTGTAAATTACCAAGGATAACCCGTAATAAATATTACATTAAAGTTACATAAATCGAGTGATGTATATAGGCAGACACCGCATTACAGCACTTCACTTCACAGCATTTCGCTAATACAGCGGTTTCCAATTATTCCCATTCATTTATTTAGACTTCTTTCATTAAATATGTTACCACTCACTATAAGCTAAATATGAATATGTTTTAGGTACGTAATGTGTATATTGTGTATGCATTTTTTTAGGCCTAGTTATATTGCTCACTTAATATATGATAGTATAAATATGTTACCAGGCTTATATTTGCATTTGTTAGTAAATAAAAGGCTGTGATTCACTTTACAGCGATTTTCGCCTTACAGCGGTAGCCCATAACCTAATCTGCTGTATAAGCAGGGTTCTCCTGTATATAATAAGTGGTGCTTGGATGGGAATTGGTGACACGCCTATTACATACTCACTGGGATAATTAAGCAGCCATTTTTTTTTTTTCAAAAATTTCTCATGGTAAACGATGATCTTCGATTTCTCATTGAGGAGAATTTGACATTATGATCTGTAACTTGACGTTATGATCTATAACTTGACATTATGATTTATACCTTGATATTATGTTCTATAACAAATTGACATTATGATATACTATTCGTCATCAACTTTAAGAGACTTTCCTCCACAGCCGCGCTCATGAGAGAAAACGTCACACTCGTCTTCCTGAAGAAGATCAACAACCTGGAGAAGGAGATCGAGGCTCTGGAGAGCAATAACGCCTTGAAAACCGCAGAACTTCAGCTACTGAAGGAAGAGAACCAGCTGGTGAAGACCGAAATTCTGCAGGTTGAGGAGGATAATATTAAAGTGAAGAAGGAGATACGGCAAGTGGAGGAGGAGAGACGAAACGTGCAGGAAGAAAGGCGGAAGGTAGAGGCGGAGAAGAGGACAGTGGAAGAGGAGAAGAGGGAGACAGAGCAGGAGAACCGCAGTCTAAGGGCCGAGATTCGCCAAGTGGAGCAGAACGCTTGGGAAGTTCAGAAAAAGAATGCGGACCTCGAACGACGGAATGAAGAGGTGGAGGGTGAAAACGGCCGTCTGTTGAGGAATCTCCTTCAGTTGGAAGGAAATTACTCACGGGAAACCTGTCTGTGTGAGGATGGTCAGGAAGGAACCTCCCTATTGGAGGAAAGGATAAAGGAACTGGAGGAGGAGAAGAAAAACCTGATAGAAAACGCTTCTAGAGTTGCGGAAGATAATGGACGCAAGGAACAGAACAGAGCAATGCATGAAGAAATTATAATACTCAAGACAAGGGTGATGGGGTTGGAGGAGCAGAAGGAAAAAGAGGGGAAGATTTTGACAGGAGGAATATCACAAATAATTGAAGAGGAGCGAGAGGAAACACCAAATATGGACAGATATCAAAACGAGAATAGAATTCTAGAAGAAAAATTCAAAGAACTTGAAATGGAAAAAAAACACCTGGAAGAAAACAACGTTCGCTTGTCCGAGGAACACCGCCAAAAGGAACGAGAAATCCTGGAAATACTGGAACAAATGGGGGGACTTCTGGAAAGAGTTACTGAGCAGGAGAGAAAGACCAAAAGACTTGAGGAGAACCAGACATTGCTGGAAGAGGAGAACGAGAAAAGGAAACAAGAGTTAACGGCAGTGAGGAGAGAGAAGGAGATCCTCATGGACAAAGCCAGAGCCCTTGAGGATAAGTCACTGGCGCTGGAACTCATGAACATCCAGCTAGCTCAAGAACACAGGGAAAAGGCAGACAACACCACGATCCAGGTGGAAAGACGACACCTGGAAGCACATCTGAGGGAGCTTGAGCAGGAGAATGTGCAACTGAAACAGAATATCACACGCTTGGAAGAAGAAAGCCAGGAAAAGGAGAGCCAGAGCAGACAACTCCAGGAGGAAAAGGAACACCTTGAGGAAAAAGTCATGGAACTGGAAGAGGAAAGATGGAGAGTGGAACACTCAAGCACTCAGCTTATTCATGCGAATGAGAGGAACAGACAACTCTTCGAAGAGAAAAAGGCCCTAGAGGAAAAAGTGGAGAAATTAGTGCAAGCAGAAAGAGACAGATGGAAGAACAGAGTAGAGGAACAAAACGACGAACAAGAAAAAGAGGAACGTGAACTATTAGAAGCAAAGGCTGCAAAACTGGCAAAAGATATGAGGCAACTGGAAATCAACAGGACACTCCTGGAAGAAGAGCTAAAACAGACGAAACAAGAAGAAAGGGAAATACTACAAGAGAAAAGGTTACTGGAGATGAAGGTAAGATCATTAGAAGAAGAGAAATGGAATCTGCAAGAAAACAATACCTGGTTATTAATAGAGAAGGGACACAAGGACCAAGAGAGGAAACAACTACAGGAGGAAAGGAATTCATTTGAGAGGAAATATCAGGAAACAGAGAGGCGAAAAAAACGACTTGAGGAAGACAACCAACGACTGATGGAGGAGAAGGAGGAGAGAGACGAGGAGAACAACGAACTTCAGGAGGAGAACAAGGCGCTAGTGGCCAAGGTTCTAGAACTGGAGGAGGAAAAATGGCAGCTGGAACAGGCAAACACGTGGCTGATGGATAACAACAAAGGGATGGAAAAAGAGAAGAAGAAGATTGAAGAAGAGAGAAGAAACTTAGAGAAGGAAAAGAGAAAACTCGAAGAAAACTCTCAGCAGGTTGAACTCATCTACCATCAGTGTCAACGTAACTTGACCAAATTTTTAAGGTAATGGGATTTTTCATCTCTCACCAACTAATGGGTGACTTTTGTGTTCAGTCTTATATAATTTTCACTTGAAATATTCCATATTGTCCTCACTTCATCATTCCATCAATAATTTCCCTTTCTCTACCCCTCCTGCACACACTCATTCCATTCTTCTTTCCCAACCAATACTTATTTTACTATGTTAATTATAAATTTTGTAGAAGACTTCAGCATCAAGTTTTTAATGCTTCCTTAAAACTTACAATTACTGGGTTAGAATACATGAAATATACATATAAAGACGGTATATTTCGCTATAAATAAGCAAAGGCCACAATAAATCTGGCAATCAGGTAGCCGAGAGCGTCCAGGAAGCGTTGAAATATATACCACAGCGCTGTTTTTGACATCCTCCTCACCACTCATCTCTAGCCAGCTTACTGACCAGCCCTTTCTGTAATTCAATCGCTTATATTCCTTATCTAATATAATTATATAATATCTTTATTTACTACATGTACAAGGTATACAATCCTAGCTGACATCAATGACATACTATATAGAAAGCAGCTTGTTATGCTGAGCATTTCGGCCAAATTAGGTCAGTTTTGTCCCAGGATGTGACCCACACCAGTCAACTAATACCCAGGTAGCCATTTTACGGATGGGTGAACATAGACAACCGGTGTAAGGAAACACGTCCAATGTTTCCACCCCTTGGCCGGGAATCGAACCTAGACTCTCACCGTGTGAAGCGAGAGCTTTTCCCACCAGGCCACGGGGTACACTGATCAAAAGTTCATTATCTTTCTCTCATTTCACCTTAATTTTGCCCCAGCTTCCTTTCATTTGCCTTTCCCTTACTCTGCCTTCCTCTTCACATCCATTTACAAATTTCCATAATTTTTAAAAGGAGTGGACTTGAAGCCCAGCGTAATGCTTCAGTCAGCTGACCAAACGCTCCAGCTATGAGTCATCACATTATTAAGATCCGCGTCAGGAAAAAATTTGTCGTGTATGTAGGTAAGGTGTGTCAGGAAACATTTGTCGTGTATGTAGGTAAGGTGTGTCAGGAAACAAGTGTCGTGTATGTAGGTAAGGTGTGTCAGGAAACAAGTGTCGTGTATGTAGGTAAGGTGTGTCAGGAAACAATTGTCGTGTATGTAGGTAAGGTGTGTCAGGAAACAATTGTCGTGTATGTAGGTAAGGTGTGTCAGGAAACAATTGTCGTGTATGTAGGTAAGGTGTGTCAGGAAACAATTGTCGTGTATGTAGGTAAGGTGTGTCAGGAAACATTTGTCGTGTATGTAGGTAAGGTGTGTCAGGAAACATTTGTCGTGTATGTAGGTAAGGTGTGTCAGGAAACATTTGTCGTGTATGTAGGTAAGGTGTGTCAGGAAACAATTGTCGTGTATGTAGTAAGGTGTTCAGGAAACAATTGTCGTGTATGTAGGTAAGGTGTGTCAGGAAACAATTGTCGTGTATGTAGGTAAGGTTGTGTCAGGAAACAATTGCCGTGTATGTAGGTAAGGTGTGTCAGGAAACAATTGTCGTGTATGTAGGTAAGGTGTGTCAGGAAACAATTGTCGTGTATGTAGGTAAGGTGTGTCAGGAAACAATTGTCGTGTATGTAGGTAAGGTGTGTCAGGAAACAATTGTCGTGTATGTAGGTAAGGTGTGTCAGGGAACAATTGTCGTGTATGTAGGTAAGGCGTGTTAAGAAACACTTGTCGTGTATGTAGGTGTGTCAGGAAACACTTGTCGTGTATGTAGGGAAGGTGTGTCAGGAATCACTTGTCGTGTATGTAGGCAAGGTGTGTCAGGAAACACTTGTTTATGTAGGTAAGGTGTATCAGGAAACACTTGTCGTTTATGTAGGTGTGTCAGGAAACACTTGTCGTGTATGTAGGGAAGGTGTGTCAGGAAACACTTGGGTTTGAAGGTAAGGTGTGTCAGGAAACTATTGTCGTGTATGTAGGTAAGGTGTGTCAGGAAACACTTGGGTTTCCTGACAAACCTTTCCTAACGTAACTTCCACAGCCAACCACCTACTCTTAAATCTTGTATTCACTAAGATAATCAAGTAGACAACGCTCGTTGTACATTTCCTCGTACCTGTTATGGCTAATCATCACCTTGACACATACATTTAAGTATAACCCACAGTGTCATTTTAACCCAGACCTTCCAAACACTTCCACTACACCTTTCACAACAGTATCTCCCACATTAATATTAAAAAAAAAAAAATTAATTTGACTCGAAATTTTTCGAAACGATCACTTAATACCTTCCAGTTTTGATAAGAAAATTTCTAATCATTCACTTAACACCTCCAAGACTGGATCAGACTTTACGAAACACATATTAGACTTTCCAGAGTCTTTCAAGACTGCATCAACTTTCACTAAACACCTGCCAGATTCATGCACTTCTCTCATCGTCAAGCAAAACACAGCTATCATCCCCTCTAAATGTCTTCTATTTTACTTATTTACACTATGTTATTCCTATAATTGTTCTTTATAAATTACGTCTACTGCTTCTGCATGAGAAACCTGCTGAGCTTGACTGGAGAGACGCTTCTTCAAGCGTCTCTCCAGTCAAGACACACAGGAGTTAGTTGTACGTGTGCATTCTTCATAAGATTGTCAGTATTGTACACTAGTGATCTAATGCCTCTGTTACTCGCGTTTTTTTTACTTGCATCACTGGTAACTACAATGTCTTCCACCTGGTGATATACTAAGCTTAGGGTTCTACCCTGGCTGGACAGCCTGACGCCAGACTCTCGTTGACTACCTGATCAACCGGTGTTTTGCTGCCGGCAACCACAGGCCTAAGTCGTTGTAACATGGCTGATCTGCCTTTTTCAACTTTGTTTTTCAATGTTTGCTGTCACACACACAACCATTTTTTCTTATTTTTGGTAATTATGTGCATGAAAGAGAGGCAGATCCAAAATTCTCACTGCCGAAAATAAGGTAGATGGACACTGGAACAACGTTTCTCTCTGTATAAGCTCTGCACGGAGCGAAACGTTGTCCTAACGAGAATAACGCTTAATAATTAAGAACATAATCTTAAAATAACAAAGAATATATTCAGAAACATACCTGATCTCAGAAGAGTACAACTCAAGTTATTGTTGCCAGACGAGCAGCTGACTGTGCTGAACTATACTGCCTCGGTACTAGAGAAGACGGTGTGTATACTATATACCTGCCTAGGTAAGCATCTTCACCGCCTGTATGTCACCTACTAGTCTAGGTAAGTACCTTCACTGTTTGTATGTCACCTATCAGTCTAGGTAAGTATCTTCACCGCCTGTATGTCACCTACTAGTCTAGGTAAGTACCTCCACTGTCTATATGTTACCTAATAGTCTAGGTAAGTACCT